GGTGGTCGTAGACCAGTGATAGTAACAGTAATGATAGTGATACAGGTAGTAATCGTAGTAGTATGCGCAGTCGTAGTCCTACATGTATGGTAGGGCTGGTGATCGTAGTACAGGTAGTACTAGTGATAATACTGGTAGTACGTGTAGATGTAGTACTAGTATTACTAGTTAACAGTAGTAGTCGTAGTCGTGGTGGTAGCAAAACGAGTAGCAGCAGTAGTAGTAGTAGTAGTAGTAGTAGTAAAAAAGAGGTAGTAGGAAAGCAGTGGTAGCCGTGGTAGTAGTGGTAGCAGTAGTAGTAGTAGTAGTAGTAGTACTACTAGTACTAGTACTAGTACTACTAGTAGTAGTTGTCGCATTAAAGTTCGCAGCATTAGCTTTAATGTTTGTAGTCCTGGTTGTACGAGCTGTACTAGTAGTAGTAGTAGCATTAGTAGTAGCATGCGTCGTCGCACTAGCTTTACGAGTAGTAGTAGCGATGGTGTTGGTAGTAGTCGTAATAAATCTAGTAGTAGAAGTAGTAGTAGTATTAGCCGTAGCATTCGAATAGTGGTGGTAGTACTGGTAGGGGTGATAATGCTAGTCGTCACCGTAGAAATGGTCGTAGCAGTAGTGATCAGCAGTAGTAATGGTCATACTAGTAGTAGTAATAACCATACTAAATATGTGAAGAAAGAATAACAGCAACAGTGGTGAAGTCATAATAAGACTTGCAGCTGTAGTAGTGGCAGTCGTAGTCGTAGTACGAATAACACTGGTACTGGTAGTAGTGGCCGTAGTAGTAAAACTGGTGGTAGCAGCAGCAGTAGTGGTAGTGATAGTAATAGTACTACTCGTAGAAGTAGCAGTAAAGGTAAGTGTGGTGGTAGTAGTAGTAGCAGTAGTAGTAGTAGTAGTAGTAGTAGTAGTAGTAGTAGTAGTAGAGATAATAGTAGCAGTAGCAGCAGTAATCGTAGTCGTAGCCGTAGCAGTAGTAGTAGTAGTAGTAGTAGTAGTCGTAGTAGTAGTAGTAGTAGTAGTAGTGGTAGTAGTACTACTAGTAGTACTGGTAGTAGTAGTAGTAGTAGTAGTAGTAGAAGTAGTAGTAGTAGTAGTAGTAGTAGTAGTACGAGTACTAGCGGTAGCAGTAATAGAGGTCGAAGCCATCGTGGTAGTATAATAAATACGAGTGGTAGTAGTAATACGAGTAGCAACAGTAGTAGCAGTAGTAGTAGCAGTAGTAGTAGCAGTAGTCGTAGTAGTTATAGTAGTAGTAGTAGTAGTAGTAGTACATCGTAGTAGTAGTAGTAGTAGTAGTAGTCGTAGTAGTAATAGTAGTAGTAGTAGTAGTAGTCGTAGTGGTAGTAGTAATGAAGGTAGTAGTCGCAGTAGTAGTAGTAGTAGTAGTAGTAGTAATGTAGTAGTAGTAGTAGTAGAGTAGTAGTAGTTAGTAGTAGTAGTAGTAGTTACAACTGTCGTAGCCGTATAGTAGTAGTAGTAGTAGTAGTAGTGGAAGTAGCAGTAGTCAGTAGTAGTAGTAGCAGCAGTAGTAGTAGTAGTAGTAGTAGTCCGTAGTAATAGTAGTAGTAGTAGAAATAATCGTAGTAGTAGTAGCCGTAGTAGAGTAGTAGTAGTAGTGGTAGCAATAGTAGTAGCAATAGTAGTAGTAGTAGTAAGTAGTAGTAGTAAGTAGTAGTATAGTAGTAGTAGTAGTAGTAGTGGTAGTAGTAGTAGTAGTAGTAGTGATAGTAGTAGTAGTAGTAGTAGTAGTAGTAGTAAAAGTAGTAGTAGTAGTAGTTGTTGTTGTTGTAGTAGTAGTGATAGTAGTAGTAGTAGTAGTAGTAGTAGTAGTAGTAGTAGTAGTAGTAGTAGTAGTAGTAGTAGTAGTACTTGTCGCAGTAGCAGTCGTAGTGGTAGTATCACTCGTTTTAGCAGTGGCCGCACTCATACGAACAAACATCGTCGACACTGGCTTGACACCCATAAACGGAACATTTCAGAACCATTCCCTCCCATGGGTTTCGGGTCCTCAATCGGCTGTCCAGCGGCCGTTCGGGACGATCCGGGCGGCCCCGCACGCCTCCCGGTGAGGCGCAGCTCCTGGGAATCATCCCGAAGCGGGGGAACCCTGCAGAAAACGGCGAAACCCTGGAAACCAGCGGAACCTTGCCCTCAGCTTGACGTTGCATCCTCACGTTGTCTTCGTGATGATTGGGCGATTGAGAATGGGAGAAGGTCGTCATCGTTCTCTTCGTCCGAATCTTCCTCGTCATCGTTGTCCTCCTCTTCCTCCTCCTCTTCATCCTCCTCCTCCTCCTCTTCCTCCTCCTCCTCGTTTTCCTCCTCCTCCTCTTCCTCCTCCTCCTCCTCCTCCTCCTCCTCCTCCTCCTCGTCCCCATCCTCCTCGTTTTCTTTTTCCTTGCCCTTTGCATTTGAAATCAGTGCCCGCGCGCGCCACAATGAGTATGAACACCGCAACGTTCACATAATTACTACACAAGGCCCGCGTGCGCATTCAGTGCCCGCATACACCCCCCAGCGCCTGCAACTGCGAGCGCCGCGCTCCGACCGCCGCGCCAATGCCTGTCAGCAACAGAACAACACTGCGTCCCTGGAACCACCACGCGGCACGCATTCAAGCGCAACTTGACTTCGCGAGTGCCACAGCGTCCCTATGAGCACAACGATCCGGACGACCGCCGCGATGCGACTACAGGGGGGGCGGGGCCGATCACGCGCGTGATCGCCGGAGGATTTTCCACACGGGCTGTAACCATCATGTCCGCCATCATCACCATCACCATCATTCCCAACGGCATCCTATCCAGCATTTCCATCATCATTGTCATCCTCATCACCATCGCCATCACCATCATCGACATCATCATCATCATCATCATCATCATCAGCATCACCATCATCATCAGCATAATCATCATCAGCAGCATCATCTTCATCATAAACGTCGTCAACCTCATCATCATCACCACCATCATCATCACCATCATCCTCACATTCGTCCGCCAGCCTCTGTGTGGGGGTTTCTGGCTGCGCGGTTTACGTTTGCCGCGCCCTGCAACAGTGCCAGCTTCCAACTATCCAAAAAAATGGTTCGACTCCCTGCTGCCGACCGTAAATTTTGAAAAACCGCGCGAGGGGGGCCCAAACCGCCCTACATTCATCATTCCTGGTTGTTTCACACGTCCCGGGGGGATCGTGGGACACGTGGGGGAAAAAGGGAAAAACAGGTCGCGCCTCGGGACAATCAACCTCGCACGTTACACAGTATTCGCCTGTATCTAAAGTATACGGTGTCCGCGTTCCCGGAGCAATAACCGTTCGTAAATTACGTTGCGGTTGCGCTCCCCGAGGCCATACACCCTCGCAAAATAC